TTATTGTCTTAATTACAAACTTTGAATGCTTAAGAATAATATTTATTTAAGGGGAAAAAAGAAATGAACACCTAGTGAAAGGGTTAAACCATGATAATAATAACAATAATTATATAATGAATATCGACCTCTGAAGTAAATTGACAATTTAGAAAAATAAATTAATAAACTAAATCCTTCAGTGCACTCCGATAAATACATGTAGATTTATGTAATGGTATACAGAGTGAAACCGGATATTAGTATAAACTTTCGTGCAATAATGATTTATGTGGTGAGGATAAAATTAATCTGAGAAGTTAATTTATTTAAGTGTACCGTGAGATGATGTTTTTAGTTATAACTTTGAAGGTTAAGAATAATTTATGTGTAGAATGATACGAAGAGCTAAAAAGAATATCTGATGTGTCAAGAGACCAATAATGATATTAATAACAGTAATCATTATACATACGAACACAAGAACACTTCATATATTAAGATGAATAGAAAGAAAAAAAGAAATAGACGTGAAAAGTTTCATTTTGCTTTTCAGTCAATTAGATGGATGACGGACCTTGTTTGTATAAATCATTATTAAACACATTGATGTTCAATGGGTGACACAACCAACTTTCGGAATGAAAATCATCAAGGAGGGTATAAAATCAATTTTCGACAGGTGTCTTGATGTCAGCATTGGAAATGTATCGATAGAGCTTTCAGTTTCAGTTTTGTAGCATTGCGAGAAATGCTGGCTGAATTGTTTGCAAATAATGTCAGGGTCGTCAACAATGCTTCAATAAACTCTATGATTATTCACAAAAAACTCATGATTAATATGCACTGAAATAGAGTCTATGTTGATTGTAAACAACAAATCAAGTATATTATTCCTCCTAATCGGTTTCGGACCTGTTGAACCTATCCACAAATTTCTAGTGTATCAACAAGCTTATTATATAGACCTGATACTGGATTCGAACCCCATATAATGTTTGGCAGATTTAAATCATCTCAGATGATTTTAAAAGTATGCGGTTGGTGCGAAGCAATGAAAAAGATGTTTGTTAGTAATCTGTCAAACTCAGTATCCGCATGAGGTGGTCTGTATATGCATCCCACCAGTAGATAATTTTGAGATCCACAGTTTACAGTAACCAAGTGGAATCGTCTATAGCATCAAATTTGCACGCCTGAATGTCTGAACGGACGTGGACAAATGTACCGCTTTCTAATCCAAAACGTCTTTCGGCTCTAAAGTAAACGTAGTTATCTACATTCAGGGAGTGATCGGATATAGATGAATTGCACCACGTTTCCGTAATAAGTACAATGGTTGGATTTGCAAGGAACAAAAGGATCTTAAGATGAGTAATTTTATTGGACAGAGACCGAACATTGAACGAAAAGATGAGAAACTCAGAGTTATCATGGTGAAGCAGTTTAGAGTATAAATAGTTGTAGGATTGGCTAACGTAAGAGTTGTGTTGTGAGGGGAAACAGATTCAGCCACTTTGTCACCATCTAAAATATGTTTACGGTTGCCGACAGAAAGGCCGGCGGAATTACAAAAAACGTCTTCTCACTGCTATTGGGTATAACATCTGATAAAGGCATAGTGTACATATTGGAAGCCGGACGATGAAGACTATCACGTCTACGTGCACGAGCAAGTGGCCATTTACAGTTCAAATTACCATTTATACCTGATGTATGGGTAGCGTGTTCCAGACGTTTATTTCCAAGGTTTGCGGTTGATTTAGGCTTCTTCATAATTTGGAGAGGATCGTGTTCTATTAAACATACTTCCGATGGTTTGCAAGGTTCGAATATATCAACTTTTAGTGTGTTATGATTGGTTTTTCCGTTATCCATCTCACAGTTACTGTGACTGAGTGTTGCACTAATAGGGATCTGAACCGTTTTATCCCATTCGTCATCAGCATAACTACTTCGAGTTGAATATAAGTCAACATTCCTATGAAGATGGACACCATCTACACCGGGATTACTTTCTTCTGTGTTTTGAACTTTAGGAGACTCAGAAGAGTTTTTCGGTGGCGGTATACCTGTAATGCTAGACATACTTTTAGAATCGAACTTAATTTTACGACCGTTAGGATTACGATGCATTTAGGAGTTTGAAACTGGCGGTCTGTAGCTATTTCTTCCTGCTTTTCGCAAGCATGGTGTTCTATGTGGAAGAATCTTGATATCCTTGAAAATCTGCTGTCGTCTCAATGAATTGGAGAAAGCTAAAAACTCACTGGCGTCCCAAGGTGAGGTGAATTCAAACAAGATCGGTGAGTGCATACCAGGTTGACTTCTTTTAATCTTGTGCATACACATGGTACGTGTGTCATATTGTTGGCTCTAAGCAGACTAGATTTGATATTTTTAAGGGCATATGTGTCCGGCATATTAAACGCAATTGCATTGCTAGATCGTCTTATTCTTTCAAATACCTCTGATGCAACACGATCTAGGAAATTATTTATGTCATTCATTTGATCCGGAGTCTCTATGAGGTTGGGGTTGATGAGATACTTAGGCGGGTTGAGAATGTTCATATCAACTTGCAACATTTTTTATGTCATCCACATGGCTGCAGTTGCTATTTTCATCACTATTTACCAACAGAGTCTTCAACATGTCTGGAATTGAGACAAATGGTAAAAGCCTGATTGCTTTACAATGAACGGAGTAGCTCGTCTCGTTGAAACTGTCGGAAATCGTTTCAGTAGTAGTATTAGGCCGTGTCGACTTTCTACGTTTAGCTGGACGCCTAGAAGCAGGAGCCCCTACATTTTCTTTTGTGGCATAATAAGAAAGTGACGTATAGCAGATGGATTGAACCAAATGTCGGAAATAGAAATGGGCGAAAAAATCAATGCCGAGGACTCAAGAAAGTCTGGAAATCAAAACCTATGTTTTACCAAGAGTGAATGTATCGTGAGGATTAGTGAAGGTAATTTCAGAAATTAAATGAGTTATAATATCCAACTACGATTTAAATGATAGTACGTAAAATAGTGAGTACGGTGCTCTATCATACACGTTTATATATATTTCTTGATATTAGGTAGAGGTCTAAATAGATCCTGTAAATGCATAAAGTACGTGGGTTATAGTATCCAAACACGATATAATTAAATATTCCTTAAGGAGTAGAATACGGATATGAAATGCAATTCTTCGTCGGATATGATTGTGTATGGGTTAAAAAATGACAGGGCATAGTTCGATCGTATTGCCAAAATGAATAAGATGTAATTATATGATGATGAATTATTGTGTGGATGTGATCATAAATACCATGAACAAGTTAAACTCAGATCTAATCATATAGCATGAAATTTACAGTTTATATGTAAATAGTTCAGAGTTAGCTTCCGTAATTCCAAGAAAAAATAATCCATCCAGCTCTGTGAGAATCCTAGAAAAAGAAAACTGAGGTCCTTGGTCTAAAAGTAATGTCTAGTCCGTAGCGCGCGCGGCGTTGACTAAATGGGTTAGCGAATTCTGTCGTGAATCCCTTAAGTATATATTTTAATAAACTTGTCACTCAGGGTCGATTACCAAAATAATAAAAGAATGCTATTGTAAGTCCTATTTTCGAGACATGTGCAAGACATAAACCTGAAAACTATCAACCCGTTAGCCCAATCAGAATGGTTGTTCAAGTCTCGGAAAAGATTATTCGCACATTGTTTAAGTACCTCGACAGAAACCGGATTCTTTCTGAAAAGTAGTATGGCTTTAGGACAGGTTTTTCATGCCCAACTAAAAATTCCTCATAACCGACTATTATGTGAGTTAAGAATTATCGGGGCTTGAAGCAATCTGTTAGTGCAGATAAAAGACTTCCTAGTTGGATGCCAACAAGGAGCACGGGTGGACTCAAGGTTGTCTAGCTGGCAAACTGTGCTTAATGGAGTGTCTCAGGATACAGTTTGGGGACCAGTATAATTCCTCCCGTTTGTAAATGCTTTTCCTAGTCTCCTATTATCACCGGTTTTGTTATATGCTGACGATGTCAAGATATGGGGAGCGATAAAAAGTAAAGGTGATAGCTTAGAACTTCGAAATGACCTGGAGAAAATATCTGTGAAAATTATCTAAATGGTCCCGAACTTGGCAGTGACCGATAAATACTTCCACGTGTATTGTGATGCATATTGGTCATCAAGGTACAGATACATGCATGATAAATAACACTGAGATACCTGTTGTCCAGGTACACAATGACTTAGGAGTCACCGTTAGTCAAAACGTAAAAGTTACAGCACACTGCCGTGCAATAGCAGCCAAAGGTTTTAAAACTTTATGGTAAATACGTAAGGCCTTTAGCCATGTTGATGCTGAAACCTTTTGACTCCAGTACTGTATACAATCAGCTAACTTCTGCTAAAATAAGGCAGTGAGCTGTTTAGAGAGGTTTGGAGAACCGCAACCAAGTTGATTCCCGAAATGGTAAGACTCCGGCGTGGAGCTCTACTTCCTAAATTTAACCTATTCCCATTGTCGTATAAAATAACCAATGACGAATTGACCAAACTTCTCAAATCACTTAGTGATAAATTTGCACCTGATATACCATCACTTTTATTTCTTTCCAAAACAGAGAATTCACGATGGCACTATAAAAGTTCACAACCCCAGAACAAATTAATGTCAAGTGATTATAGGCTTTCCCATAGAATCATAAACAAATGTAATTAATTATCTCAACATATGATTAAAGCGACATCTTCAAAAGGAATTTGGTCCAACTGAGAGGCAACCATCGCCAGGATTAACACAGACTACCTATCCTCCATTATTTTTCGGAACAATGCCGTCAATCTGTTCATTTTCACTCCATATATAACATATGACGTTCAAGATAGTATCTCATTTTTGCTTATCACTATACTAAGTATGTGATTATCAGGACTTTTGATCACCTGAGAGCGTTTTTGACTGAGACTTGTTTTAGTATTTCGTCACAATTATTAGTAAACGCGGTATTACAGACTATGGAAGGACAAATTAAGACATATACATTTAACATGGAAATGAGTTGCGAGGGCTGTGCTAAGGCCGCGAAGAGAGTTTTAATGACTCTTGGAGGTAAGAAAAGTAGGAGTCACACCTTAATTCATATTTAGATGCAATTAAGGAAGTCGAGACGAGTGTTGAGAACAATACAGTCACCGTTCAAACCACTTTACCTGTTGATGATGTTTTGCACAAGCTCGAAGAAACGCAGAAGAAGATTGTTCTGGTCACTTCCTAATAATATACAAACTAAATATTCCAGAAGTGCTTGTTACTGTTAATAAAACCTGTGAGTAGTTTTTAATAGACATGGTATACTATCTCTATAGTCAACCTTATAAAGTTGGTTTAGTAATTTGTTAGTACGGACTTTAAGATCGTGTGGTATTTCTAAATATGAGGTAGTTCACTGCCGATGCTACATATTTTTGTTTAGACATTTATGGTAATTTGTACTCACTAGTCGACCGGATCTGGTCGATTTATTTCGATGTCAAGTTTGTACGGTATGGGAGAGCTGAACAACCAACTAACTTCATTTGTGCCGTATTTTGTCATCACAACACAAGTGCAAAGAAATCAATCAGTCCATACTAGCTAGTCATAAAACACTGGATAGATAGCTTACTAACCAACCATTAGGCATAAAACAGTTCAAGTTAAAATGTCCAGGTCTTCAAATCATTCTTAGTAAACTATTTATAAACACCAGACTTTTTTAAAAAGTGGTTCCTTACTTTGTAGGTTTCTTAAACAATATCAAGTACTACAGCAATATAACTTATTGTTGGGTATATAATATTTGGTCACAAGCGGCGTTCAAATATTGCCCACCAATAATGAAACTACAGAGTGAACAACAATGATGTTAAGGAAAGAGTTATACATACAGATAGTATTTAGGCCGAATGAATTTCTAAACATCAACAAGTGGTTGGGCCATGTACGAGCCTATCCAGCCACCGCCTCTATGTTGACGGACATATAAACAGAATGAAAGAATAGTATTGGGTGTCAGGTCAAGATATATCGTCAGTACCTGAGACTATAGGCTTTTTGGTTTAGCCGTATTGAGATTCCTGATTGGGGGTTGGTAACAAAATATTAATCACTCGCAGTGGTACATATACCTAAATTCTTTAATGCGCCTTTCAATCCTAAGCCTTATCGTTTTATTCACGCCTTCAAAACAATATTTCCCGTTTAGTCACCCATCAATCGCTAGGTTCTACCCTAGGCTTTTCCGAAACTATATTTAATTTTAAGGTTGTAAATCAAACCACCCAGCTCAGAGGACAAAACTCTAACTGGATTTTGTTTCTTTGTGATGGTGGGTAGTGCGAAAGCTTATCTTCTTATAATAGTCTATGACTAATGCACCATCCCAATTCCAACTAATGAACCAGTCTTCACCTATAGAGTTCCATTGTCAGATAGTTGATTTCGAAATTTTATTTTTCTTTCCAACACTCGTGGCATTATAAAGATAGTAAGGCTTATTCAAAATGGGTTTTGAGTATGAAGGAATCGGTTGTTAGAAATTAGCAAAGAAATTAGTAAAGAATCTAATTAAGATATACAATCTTTAATCTGATTCGGGCAAAAAAACTTGAGGCGTCAGACGATAACAAATTTGAGGAGGCTCTACTACTTATTTTACGATACTAAACTAACGGGGTTTTATTTTCTGAAAATGACAATATTTTGAGCCGACATGCTGAAATACTATTATTATCCAATTGTGAAATCTGAGATCAAAAGCTAAAATATAGATTGGTGATTGATAAGCGCCACACAATTTCCTAGTAATGGATCAATGCATATATATATATATATATATATATATATATATATATGTACGATGTCCTACGTTACCTACATCTTTCATAAATTTTTAACGATCTGAAGGCAAAACAGATACGTTACAGAAATAATTATATTCAACAACAAATAAAACGTATAAACAAAATTTTAGTCAATCTTGACAAAAAAGTAAAGCATAGTTATTTTCATAGCATACGAAGTTAACCAAACAGATTTTGATAAGAATTTAGAAAAATTCCATGAGTGTAAAAACGTTCAACAAGAGATTTTTTCGATTGAGTGTATATGAAAAGAAATAGTAAGCACATTTTATCATTCATTTTTCGTTTTCTTAATTGATTCTGATCTTTTGTCATCACCAGTTTGATGAGGCGATTTTATTAATGAGACATGTTCTTTTGCATCATCATTTTCAAAAGATCCTGCGAACCAAAACCCTACTACTAGTATTAAACCAACAAAAATCATAACAGTGAACAACGCAATAACTCCAAGCAATATTACGAGAGGTTTCCCGAATTCGTTTTGTAGGTCCTATGGAAAGTGATAGAATAAAACTAAGAATGTAGATACATCAGTCGTCACTGTCATAGCAAATAATAAAGGAAACGAAACTTAATATATATTTAATCCATTCCAATACTACTTTTACCAATATCACTTACGTTACCTGGGATGTCTCAATACTTCGTACGTTTAGGTTTGAGTAGTATTGTTTTCTCGTTTGTTTTTAAAACACATATACGGGACTCTGCTAATGAGAAAATCAAGGTATCTGTAACTGTATTTTCGTACTCCATACTTGTGATGCACATTCTTGTTGTAGGACGGATTTTAGGGAAGACAACACTTTTGAAACTGTGCAACAGTTTGGGTTCACTGTCACGTACGTAGCGCTCGGAGCTCAGACGGAATGCTACGCTGCTTACCATAAAAAGCGAGTGTACCATACAGCAGTTTGCTCTATATCATTTTACAACTGAAATATCATCTGCAGAAATGGAAAACACACGTAGGCTACGAATATTTGACCACAAGTGTCTCCTAAGCGCTGTTCGTGCGTTATACAATTAACAGCGAGACAAGAAATATTGTAGTCGGCAGCTTTTACGTAGAAAACGGTAAGTCAACCCATGAAAAATAAACAATTACAAACTTATTTTGTTTAGATACGTTTTTGGATGGTTGGTTGCCGCCTAACACTTGATGATGTACGTTAAGAAAACAAAAGAGACAGATCTTCACTACATTCGATCTTGTTTCTCACAATTTGTTTTAATTTTTTGTCGAGGTGTTGATGTAAAATAATGCTAACTTAAGCAAACGCACAAAAGGTCCCAGACCGTACGTTGTCTATGACTGGAAGTCTGATGGAGGAAAATGATTACAATTAACAAATGATCAAAATTTCCAGATAATACAATGTCCTAAAAGAAAGTGTAGCGATAATAGAGCATTATAAAACTTCTCATTATATAGGTTTTCTTGTGTGTTTATGCATAACATCCTTGGTCACCTCTCAAACATGAAACAAATTCTAACTAAGTATCAATTGTATAAATTTGAACAAACATGAAACAAATAATTGGCAATCCAAGTAAAAAAAATTGTGGTAGGTACAAAATACCGAAGATAGCTAGTTGACGTAAAAATAGATATACTGACATATATTCACACAAGACCTGATGATGGACTACTGTATAATATGATATCCTCTGTAATGACCAATATAATAATTGGGGGAATGTCAAAGTGTATAGCTCCATTTTTGGATCTTTTGGAAAGTGGGGATCGTTTTTGATATACATTGTTTAGTTTCCAATGAGCTTGAAATACTGTAAACTCTGGTGCTTAATAAATTATATTAATTAAGATCGCACATTGCAGGCTGACAACAGTTTACTTTTTCTTTTGGGGAGAATCAGCTCCCTCTCCACATGCTCTTACATGGCCACGGGTATACGGCCACTTCCATGGAAGTCATACTCACTGACTTCTCGTGGCAGCGGTGTTGTTTACGAAAGTGAGAGGACGAAAAGCGAATGTCCGGCGCTTTAACCAGGTTGGTGGACACGGAGGATCAACCTAGAGGAGTTGGAAAACCCTGATTCCAAACCAGTGGTGCATATGGGCTCCACGATCCTGAAGGAGAAAATGGCGTATGAACCAATTATTGGTCACTGGCTACCATGGAAATGAGTCTCCTTACGTTGCTCTACTGCCTTGTGGATTAAACTTGTAGGTCAAATGCTTGGAGAGTGGGAGACTAAGGAAACCAACTGTTTCGGTTTGGGCACCCGTGCATATATATTTGGTGCCTCTTTGTACAAATGTTTATGTGTTTAAATAAGTAAATAAACAAACCAGTGTAAACAGTAATCACGCAGAAGGAATTATGCACAATTCTCATGACATAACTTACACAATAATTAGTTTGAAAAGGAAATCCTAACTAGCACTTAGATAGTTCATTAGTGTCTCATACCCTTAATCTCTTCCGAAGAGATACAGTATACTCAACTTTTCCAAAAGTTGGAAGCTTAAGACTAATTTTCTATTCAATGTTATCAAAGTTATTTGAACTATTCCGTAAACCATCCTACCTTTTGATTCAGTCGTCTGTTTGACAATTGGCTATTATTCCTTTCTTTTTTCCTACTGAATGTTATTAAAATCTACCTAAAGAGTCTAGACAATTGTTTATTAACTAGTGTTATTATTTTCAGAATCGTTAACTAGCGATCCCAAGTTAAAAGCATTCCACTGATTACTTGTAAGTTTACATTCAAATGTACTTCTCATCATATCTGAGATTTGTTAGACAAGCTGTTAAATAAACATTCAGATGTAGAAAATCCATAGACAAACATAAATACAATCCGATTTTATTTAAAATCTAACGGATAAAAACAAGAGTCGACTATTAAGAACAAAAACGGTTGAAATAATTAAACCGAAAATGTATGGTATAATGAGTAACGTGCGCATCCCTGCACATCTATACGAATAAGTCATAGATAGAAATATAAATTGAGGAAATGTAATCAGCTCATTTAAGTAGTCAATACACATACATGATGATATTGACTATCTATGTTTGAGTATGTGTAATCGATCAATAAGGTTACTTAATTTTTCGATTATTAAACAAAGTCAGTTTTACGGTGAACAATTCACTCCCATTGTATAGTTAAAGAACAATATTTTGTCATGAACAATTTTAAATAAATACGATGTAACTCTTTATTTTAAAATATCATGTATTGGAAAATGATTCAATTATATTATAGACTGTTGTTGATGAGATTATAATTTATGGACGATCTTTAAGCGACGCTTAAGTGACCTCGAGAACATTCACCTACGTACTAGGGCTAAATGAAGGTCATAAACCAGTGTGAGGAATTCTGATTAATATTTATAGTTGATAGTTAGAGCTTTCATCACGAACTGATATGAGCTAAAAGGCCGAAACGCTATTTAGTCAAATGGATGAAGAATTTCGCGCTGAAATTCAAGATCTATTATCGCAAATCTGACTGGTCCGTCCATAAATTATAGTCTCGTTACTGAAATAAGACAAAAGTACCAACTCAATAATTGCAAGGTTAAGTGCTCATTGTGAGGTTCGAGTTCGATCTCAGATGGGATCCTGTATTCTCATTGTTGATGAGTTCTATACTAAGATGAAACAATTGCCAAGCGTCTCACATAGACTGCCTATAAACTACTAACCAGAACTGTTAGATATTGACAAGTAGACTATATATAAAGACGCTTAATATATCACTTACCACAGTAAATCCAACAAGAGCATCGACCATTTCATCACTGAAAGAGATACGATGTAGTTTTTAAAAAATACAAAAACGCTATGGTACTTTGCGTAAAAAGAAACAAAATATAGGTGGATAGATGGTGGCTAGTAGTAAAATCTGAGATGTGCGTTTCGTCCCGTTTGGGACTCATTAGCTGGATGTAGTCGCATATTAGGATATGGACCATACCTATTTTCATGAGTAAAATGGTCGCGAAAAAACAGTAGCAGGTACGTTACTAAAATAATATTTAGCAAGGAGAAAACACACTTAGAAATTCAGATAACAGAAACTGTATACACAGTGTAATTCGACTGCATATTATCATCACAATAAACGAACGATATCCTACCTTATACTAGACTCGATAAAATATTCCCTATAGTTATGAGTAAGCGGAAAATAGTTTATAATGTGTTAAATAATGAGAGCTTGAGATTTTCACTCAAAGTTGTGCCATTCTGAATAGTAAGAATTAGAATAAGTTAGTATTGGAAACGACATTTTTACGCTTTACTTCAACTTATCTTACTGTCAACAATGAAGTTTATTAACAAAGGAATAAAACTTTCAAAAACAACTTTTACATGTTACACAATCCTCAAATCTCATAATGATGAAGCGTATTCGACCCAATTCGGGAACTTCAAAAAGTTATTTTTTTTAGGTTTCAGCTATTAGAAAATAATCCACGTTGTAAATCTTTTCAATTTCCTCCTTTAGAATCCCTACATAGTTAAACGATGAATCAACAACCATACAAATGATTTTTCTTCAGATTCTTCAACAATTATTGTCATTGATGAATGTCGTTAATGTTTCTAGTTTGTGAATAGTTGATACAATCCCATAAAATAAATAACTCCTTATTATTTTGCTACGATTGTTCTTCTTGCTTTGTTAAAAAATTCGTCATAACATATTTATAAATGCTACATACTTTTGGAAAGAAAAACGAACTCAAGTCAACAGAACTGGTACAATAAGCCAAAAAGCAACTTATCAACATACACACTTACAACATCATACGTGGACGTGGAATTGAACCTTTAATATGATTTGGATAGCCAGTAAGCGCAAATTGGGTAACTTGCTCATAATCCATTCGATGTAGATTTTCTGAATATTGATACATGGTGGATTGTTTTAATCTAACGAAAGTTGCAAAAGTTCGCACATCAATATTGCGACGGTAAACAATATATATATATATATATATATATATATATATATATATATATATATATATATATATATATATATATATATATATATATATAAAGATGGCGGAGTAGTTTTGTAGGCCATTTGGATAATCTTATTGGAGGTAGGTTCTCTAAACTGAATGGTTTAATTATGAAGTCTTCACTGCTCTCCTAGAAAAACATCAGTACAAATTTCAAATAGAAGTGAGCTATACGAATTTCTTCACAAGTGATTTTAGTTTATCCCATAGACCTTAGATTTGATTGGTTGTTGACAATTGTCATTATTCACAGGTTTACTTTGATCCTATAGCTGTTCATTTTTATAATCAATCTGAATAGTTCTGTTTTGTCTGAGATTTATGTTGATGATGTTGAGTCTAGGAAGATAATGAACACTCCACACTTGAACCACCCATTGCTCCTAGAGTGTAACTTCAACAAAACTAATGAATTATTGAAGCCGAACCACTAACTGTTTACATAGAATGTTGTATATGACACTGACAAATTAGTTGTTACATTGAGAGGCTTGAACTTTGAATTTCCGACGAAGACAAATAAAAATGGATTGGATCTACACTTTAAGATTATAATAGTTTATTCACATTAATCTAAGGTATGTTTGTGGAGTTATTGAGATAACTTCCACATTGTGCAATAGTTTAAACAAGACTTAACTGATTTGCCAGCAATTTTTTAATGTAATGGACTGATAATGAGTATGAATATGAAAACACTTTGTAATGTTTAATTAAAAAAACTCTCATTAGAAATTTCTAATGACAATGACCGATTAAAAAGCTTTCTAAATATACCTATGTATCCTAACAAAAATTTACATGCCAGCCTCACTACGCAAATTATAGATAGAATAAAACTAATATAAATAGTAAACCTTTGAAGAGTATTACATGGATAATTCTATGAAGGGATAAATATGAAACAAAGTTGAAGCTTTAGAACTGTCCTATCTGGAGTTATTATTTTTTTGTCGTTTATTTAATGAATACTTCGGTTACTGTATTCTGCTGTTTGTGAAACATAAACTACTGTCACATGATGTACCTTTCTTAAATTACTGGTAATCTATTACTCAGTTCTTTTTCATTTATGGAGTAGTGTCTACATTGTAATTTCTTAATTATGCTAATGTGTGGTCAGGATTTTACTCTATATGATTCAGATATTTGAAATTTATAGTTAGAATTTTTCTACCAACTGTGTTATGTTCTACTCTGGGTATTGGAATAGCGTGGCATAACTACACTCTGGACCAACAATCGTTAAGTATTGATCTCAGAAGTTTTCTCATTATCATTATGTTATCGGTTAGCATAAGGCAGTTATCAATAGATAGACATTTCAGGTGAGCTAATCAATACTCGAACTAGACTGATGCAAATGTTTTTCTGTATTATGATCCCATCACACCGACCCTAAAATAACTCAGAAAATTTGTTGGTTTTTTTACCGTCACATCAGGCAATTATCAATTATGTACTGATTGTGATTCCATATTTATGGTGCGTTGTAGTCTTGTATTTGATAGATATAATTTTCGTTTGGTTTATCGAATCACAAAATATAAAGAGTACGTCAACTGAATTCTCTGTTGTTCTGATCAATATCAGCTTAATCTTAACGGTCAATTATGATTAACTGTGTAAGAGGACTCAATCGCTTAATGATCCTATTAGATTGGTAGATAGAAAGTTGGATTCATGGAAAAAGAAACAATGAAGTATCCTATCAAGATTCGTATACTAAAGAACTAAAGACCAGGGGTGTATAATTTGGATCAAAACTATGTTTATTGATTAATTATTACATGTATAAGTCGTCTTAAAACACAATGGATATCTCGAATATTTAGATAAACACAATCCTATCAAACAATTTAATTTGCAAACATATTTTATTCTTATAAGAAGGGTTTTGTAGATATATTATAGTAATGTCAATGGCTGAGATCATGAGAAGCAGTGACCATTGGAGTTCAACCGGGTCTGTTGTGAGATGGTAACTCACTGAAAACATTTGTGGGTGTGTCGCTGAATTTCGTGGATTGGTTAAAATTAGACAATAACAATGTTGAATGCCGACTCAGTGGTCTAGTGACTAAGCGCTTGCGCGCGAGACTGTTAGGTCCTGGGTTCGGATTCTGCGAGACGATGTCGTGGATGCACACTTCTGAGGAGTCCCACAATAGAACGAAACGGCCGTCCAGTGCTCCCACGTTTTCCATGGTGGTCTAGCTTCAATTGACTTATGATCTCAACTATTGAAATTAATATTTTATTCTGTTTATACATATTGATCTAATTCAAATTATAAAAAAAAGTTTCGAATGTTAAAATGACATTTATCTTATCAGTAGTAGTTAACACATTAACCTAGTATAATGTACACTATTTGTTGCCGTAATATGATTACAAAGAGAAAACAATGTATAGTGGTTATTTAACATTAACACACGTATATGATACAAAGAGTATAGAGATTAAATTCGATAAAGCACACACTAACAAGCTAATTGATTATGTACATGCATTCATATATACAGAAAAACTTACACACAAATATTAGAAAATTATGAGGTATGGTAGAGTGGAAATCAGAAAAGATTTCAGTTTTAAACAGGAATGATGGGATACTTCATATATAATGAAGAAATATAGGAATATTTAATTTTTGTTTTATGAGAAATATAGTGACGGAGTTAAGAAGTGTGTTTATGAGAATGAAAAACGCTGCATCCATACACTATAGTCTGTTCACTGATTCTAAAAACTAGTGAATAAAATAGATATATTAAAAACATGTGTATTGACATAAGAAGCGAATGTGAATGATACTGTCAGGGATGTCAGATCCCTATATATCACTTGGTAAACGTTTTGATTTTGTAATTTTTATTTTGGAAATTTGAACTTCTTATTTCCGCTCCAAAAGCGCCCATTTTCACCTTCCCATTATATTTCCCACTTGGCAAGGACTTTAAATATCATTGGTTCGTTCCTTTTTTAATATGCTATTTCGAGACGTTTCTCAAGGACTTTTTTATGCTGTATATATACGCTTGATTTGTGTGATTGTTGTTCGTGCTTCTGGCTGCTTGTGGAATATACTTTCCTTCATCTAAACCTGGAGTTCTCCCTCTAGTTAGAGGGGCTAGGACACATTAGAATAGTTTGACTGTCTTGTCTTTGTGTCACTGATCCTTCGTTTCGTTCGCCGATTTTAGGTGATCTCGTAATCTCTCCAAACATAGCAGATACTAACCAATATGTGGATGTGGGTGAAGTACTAATATGAAACTTGGTGGTTGAACGTCCTGACTAACGAACATTTGAGCACTGCCTCATCTTAGTGTTGAACTCTTCAACAGGATGCACTCACGAAGTCACCAGAAATCAAATACAGAACCTTTAGGTTTAGCGATGAACACTTCAACATTAGAACTACCGAGTCAGTAATCCTTAAACATGAAACATTGTTTGTAAGCTGGGTTACATTAGTTTGTTCTTCGTCACTCATATGTTTTATAACTAACATTAAACCTATGTTCAGCGTTCCTTGAACACTACCTCAGATCATCTAGCATTTGTATAAAGTAGAATATAATGAAAAGATAGGACCATTCATATAGAGCCTAATCTATCAGTAAGTGTTATTACATGAGTCTGTTCACTTGAATTCTGTCTAGATGACGCAACATACATGTATGTGATGACATAGGATGTGTTTAAATTCGATAACTGACTCTGTAAGATGAAAAACTCCATTGTATTAGTAATATTACTCACTCTTCTATGATATGAAATAGGCACTAAATGAAAAAAATATAACTACAAATAGACTTTGAAGATCAAATGTGAAGAGATCAATAAGGTTTATCAAATTCCCTCATTCACACTCTATTGTTAGAAGAACTGAAAATCGACCAGTAAGTTTGGGATATGCAAAGTAAAACTTGATACATATGGATCGATTAGGCATATGGAAAAAGGAAGTAACTATGAGATTTCAAAATTCAAAAACTAAGGGGAGACAAAGTGGATGCATCTGTGCCATCCCCAATTAGATGATCTGCACCGATTATAACCAATGATTGATTAACATAACATTATGAAAGTGTGCTTTTTAAGCAATAATTTATCTAAAGATGATCATTATAGTCATGTTTTTGGCAAAGTATTACAAATAAAATTTTTAGTTAATTAGCATAAATCAATAGTACTAGCAAGGGGGATTAGAAGTTTGAAGAAAAAGTGCAAATCGATGACTATTGATCACAAAAAGAACAATAATGAATGAGACAATACATCATTTTTATCGAACTGAGTGTTACATATTGTATTACACTTTCTCATAAGTTGTGGATGAGTAACTCCAATTGGTTAAACGACTAGGCTACAACCAAAATATCATGAGTCAGTCAATTATAAGTACTAAATGACCTGGTATATGTGCAAATCAGTTCAAGTTGATGCGGAATGCGATGAAATCACCAAGACTAATATCATAGTGGTAAAAGTAGCTGCGGTATTATTGATAGTAGAACACATTAGGGACAGAGAATATTACTTCGAGGAAGGGATGAATATGTCGGGTAAAAAGTATGAAAAAGTCTCGGAACTCGAAATCTAAATAGGAACAAAAAGTGTATCTGCGCCGTTATAACCGATTCTGAGACATATCACCCGATGTTTTTTAACTATTGATTACGATGATTGCGCAGACCACAACCAGATAGTATGTATCTGTCCATACAACCCGAGTCAACGGTTAATGAATTCGAGTACAGATTCCACGTCGTGGTTTAGCCACCTCTAGTTTACTTCCAATCTACTCATACACCATTAAATATCTCACAAAACATAGGTCTGAACTCAGACGCACTTAATTATTTCAATTTAGGCAACCAGATCTTACTGTTCTCATCTATTAAAAATCTAGACCAAAACCTACAGCATATAAATCCGTGCGAAGTAAATCAGTTAAAATGATCTTTTTCATCATTAACAACTACAGTGGAATACAATATTAGGAGATTAAAATTTAAATAAAAATTAACTCATTTTACTAGGTACTTGAGTATGAGCCACATTCTTAATGTGAGTTGATAATATAACCCGGTTACCTAAACCAAAGTAGGTGGAATGCAGGGTTATTTATCCAAGAAGATACTGTTGAAATAATGTGAAACATTACCAAAAATTAATTTTATTCAATAACTCCATACCAACAACTTTATCACAGTGAGAAATTCTCATTAATAATTGTGCAATAATTCAACAAATTTCTAGGTATCATTACCAACGTTTGACTTCATAATTTCAAGTAAATTGACTATTGGGGTAGACTGTTATAAATAAACATAATGTATTTGAAATATCCCAATAAGAAAGTTAAACATTTTGACGTTTCATCACTCAGTGTAAGCCACTTCATCAGAGAATAACTAAATTAAATTAACCCAAGTAGTAATACGTAAGAAACTATTTAAACTTGGGTTAATTTAATGTGGTTATTTATTCTCTGAAGAATCGGATTATACTGAGCGACGAAACGTCAAAAGATTTAATTTTCCTACTTATTATGGTATTACAAATATATTACTTTTATTTACAACAACTTTATGTTTCACTGGTTGAAATCATGAGTCAATTGAAGCTAGACCACCATGGAAAACCTGCAAGCACTGGACGGCCGTTTCATCCTAGTATGGGGCTCCTCAGCAGCGCGCATCCACGACCCCCCCGCGAGATTCGAACCCAGGACCTATCAGTCTCGCGCCAAGCACTTAACCAACTAGACCACTAAGCCGTCATCCAACGGTGTTAATACCTAACTTTAACTAATCCACGAAGTTGCGCCACTGTACACCATTGTCTTCAGTGAGTTCCTATCTCACGACAGACCTGGTTGAACTTCACTGGTAATGGCTACGCACTGCTGAGGAGTCCCATACTAGGACGAAACGGCCGTCCATTGCTTCCAGGTTTTCCATGGTGGTCTAGCTTTAATTGACTCATGATTTCAACCAGTGAAATTTGTAAAATCTCCACAAAACCCATTCTGATAAAATTTATGTTTGATAGGTATTTTATTTGTTATTTGTTGAAAAAAATATTCATTATCTGTTACCCACATACAATCATAAAAACTAATCTACCAGTTTAGCTACTAGAATCATCTTATCCCCCTTATTATATATAAAATGCATGAATCTCAATATACTAATATATTTTTTCCGGCATAGGATAGAGAAAGGTGAAATTAGGTAATAAGTGCAATGCTCTCGTTTGTCGCATAATATTTAACATTTTAATTAGTTGTAAGCCATTTTTTAAGAAGAAACAACAGATGTAATCATAACACTATTCATTGAAAACAAACCTAGAACAGGGAAGTTATCAGTGCATTTATTTGCCACGGTTAAAAAACCAATAGTCTAACATATTTGATGAGATCATCTCATTTTTTTTCTGTTTTCACACAAATAATCATTAAGGTTGATGAATTATTGTAAGATTTGGAAATTATGAATTAAAAGCTAAGAAACAAAACACATCACTATAATTTCTTATCATAGCGAGTAATGAATACCCTATTTTTACCAATGTTCTGTTGTGAATACAATTTACTTACTTAAAACAATTTCAGTAGTCTAACTAATATCGAGGCAAATATCTATTAGGATGATTGTCTGAATCAAAGCTGGTCATGATTCGCAAATTTAGTCTCTATTTTTAACGATGACCTACGACATTTGATGCATATATATAAATTGATGTGTGGTAGTGAGAATAAAATATGATTGGTCATTCAGCCTGGACAAATTAAATATGTAATTTCCCTTCCTGTCATTGATTTCTGATCCGGACTCACTGAAAGGGACTGCTTGTAACTGTGTCGAATAAAGTATTATCTTATTTGTACTCTAGTTTTCTATTCTGGATTGTGAATCCTGGTTCTGGTATGATGTTAATAGTCTAATTGTTGTATTGTAGAAGTATACGTGAGGGAGAAAAAAGTATTTTAAGCCATCCGTTATATCATGTACACTATATTATATATAAATAGCGTATAAAGTGACTATTCATGATAATGCAAATTTATACAACTTAATGTACAAATCATGTTGGATTCAGTGTATTTGATCTCAAGCTATGACTTTTTGATTTTCCACTTAGAGACAAACTATTCCGTTAGCCGATTCCATGTTCGAAGAAGCATATAGCTATGACATCAGACAAATTAATCATTATAAGAAAAAAAAATGTTAAAAATATATTTGGAAGAAGTCAAACGTTTTAATAACTACTTACAAGATTGCTGAAATTAGAGGATTATTCTGAGCAGAATCCGATGGTATGCTGATATTGAAACGTTTAGCTGTACGCGTCGACTGTTTCGGATCAAGAACGCCTATATTTACATGTTTTGCGCGTAAACTATAAAAATTATGACATACGATTTTAAGCATTATATAAAGGAAATGAGAAAAATGTTTATAAGTTATTAGTGAGAAGAGAGAGGGAGAAAGAGGATGATTCACAGAGTTTAGGAAAACTTTTACTAAAGCGATATTTCCTGTACATCAATGCATGATTCATTTGTCAAATCCAAATAATTCGAGAAGTATAATTGTATTGATACTAATTAATCATTGTTATACTGTGAAATGTGTGCGAAAATTTCAATTACAAAAATGTACTGTATAATAATCAAAAATAATGAAGTTTAAGTAATTTAACAATAATCAGTTATCCACCTAAAAAAAAGTAGGGGAACAGGTTAGGTCTGTGATTGGACATAGTAAATTCATGGCGATTAGCTAAGATGATGCTTAATTACAATGAAACTGGGATACTCTTTTGGTATCGAGTTGGATAAACGCAAAATCGGTAGACCAGACGACTGATACAAAACACTTCAACAATAATCCACAACACGACAAAAAGGAGTTCAGGAAAAGCTTGATATTCAATATGTCAAAATTGAAACAAGACAACTTTGTATGTACAACAATAAAACACAACTTTAGGATACGTAGTCGAATGCCCCCCAATGCCCTGGTACAGTCGAGGGTGGGAAGAGCCAACTCTTCTTTTCCAAATGCTCTCACATGGCCACCTGTATACAGCCACTTCCACGGGAGTCATACTCCCTGACTTCTCGTGGCAGCGGTGTTGTTTTAGAAACTGAGAGGATGAAGAGCGAACGTTCGGCGCCTCAACCGGGTTGGTGGACACGGAGGATCCACCTAGGGGAGTTGGAAAACCCTCATTCAAAACCAATGGTGCATATGGGCTACCACAATCCTGAAGGAGAAAATGGCGTATGAACCAACTGTTGGGCACCGGCTACCATTAGACTGCATCTCCTTACGTTGATCCACTGCCTTGCGGATCAGACCTTTAGGTCGAAGGTTCCGGGTGTGGCTCCTTAAGAAAACCATCTCCTTCAGTCTGGACACCCAGGCAGTATCACAGCCCACACACAAGTCAAGTGAATTGTGTGGCACATATGTATTCGGTGCCCCTTTGTACCAATATTTGTGTCCAAATAAATAATAAATACGTCACTGGGTCAAAACCTGACGTGTCATGTGATACTGAGCTGTGACTGGTTAGTGAATGAAGAGAGACAGGTCTATCCTATAATGTTTAGCATAAGTCCCCACCTTCATATTAGATCTCTGACGTCTTTGAGGAATCTTCCCTGTGTAAACTGCTAGATTCTTGTTAAACAAAACACTGTCTGATCCATAACTTGGTTCTCAGTTGTTCATCATGAGTTATGTAGTTAGATATGATGCGATCCAGTATATATCTAGTGTATCGAGTCGTGGAATTATCTTGTTATATCTATATCCTGAATGCAAAAACACTTGACTACTTGGTTACTTCATTAATATAAATATTGCTCAGATAAAAGATAACTAGTACACACAAGAACATAACAAGTCTTTTATGAATTAATAAGAAGAACATATTCCCAAGTTACGAGTTGGATCCAACAGATTAGTGTGTTTTTAGATATTATTGTAGTGAAAAGAACACGGATGGGGACAATCGAATGAATTTAGCACAAAATTACAAAGCATCTCAATAAAGTCTGAAAACCATATAGTAAATCGTCAATTTGCAAAATATCAATCCATCATATCCAACTGGACTGTTCCTGTTGCAAACATCAATCCATTGTCTCCATTCCATTGTTCATACGTTTTCATACAAATTGCATAGTGTTCTTGCTCTTCTTCCATCTTCTGCTGCCAGACATTACGTTTTTAACTCGCGTCATATACTACTTACATCAATATAAGTAGCACGCACCGCATTATTACTGTGGAGAATGATAAGTCATCCCATTATTATTCTTACTAACTATCTAATGTGATTATATGAATAAGTATTTGTTTTGTGCGCATGTATGTGTCGTCTTAACGCTTGTTCTGTAATGTAAGTAGCTTCAATAAAAAACTTCCTGACATTATATTTCAAGCAAATTATTCTTTTTATAAATGAATAATTTAATTATACAAATGAATACAATTGTAATATGTATCTTGTTAATAGTGAATCATTCTATCCATATGTTATTTTAATTAACATTAATAAATAAATAATAGATGAACTTATTGTATACTGATCGACCACGGATAAGTAGTGAGTGATCAATGTTAACATTGTCTAGTTTTTATTTTACTAATCTAATTTTATTTGATCATGTTACGATGTAAGTACTAATATCAGTGATTCAGTGTTAAGTGTGTTATGTTTTGATATTCAGTTGACAAGAAATTAAGGGTTTATGTTTTATGTTAGTTGACATTCATTAATAATGAGTATTTACTGTCTTTTGAAAGAACTGATGTTTGTCATAGGATTGGGAACCAACACCAATTAAAGTCGCAGTTGGAAAGGCTAATACTGATCTATTAAGGAAGTGACTGAAATTATATGGTATGGGAAACCATGAAACTAGTGGAGTTCAACTGTACTGGAAAAGTGATAGATATTACTGATGTGATAGAAGGCAGTAGAAGCAAACAAACAAGTGAAGAGGTGCATTAGAGCCGACAAGAAGAAATACGTGGAAGAACTAGCAACGACGGCAGAAAAAGCTGCTAGAGAAGGAAATATGAAACAGCTTTACGATACAACGAAGAAACTAGCAGGGAAATACAGTAAACCAGAGAGGCCGGTCAAAGACAAAGAAGGCAAGCCAATCACCGAAATTCAACATCAGCGTAACAGATGGGTGGAATACTTCGAGGAACTCCTGAATAGGCCGGCTCCAATGAATCCACCGGACATCGAAGCAGCACACATAGATCTTCCTATAGATGTCAACCCACCAACGACGGAAGAAATTAGAATGGCCGTCAGACAAATCAAGAACGGGAAAGCAGCAGGACCCGACAACATACCAGCTGAAGCACTGAAATCAGACATCGAAGCAACCACAAGCATGCTGTACCTTCTATTCAAAAAGATTTGGGAGGAGGAACAAGTGCCAATGGACTGGAAAGAAGGACACCTCGTCAAGATTCCAAAGAAAGGAGATCTGAGCAAATGTGAAAACTACAGAGGCATTACACTACTGTCAATACCAGGGAAAGTCTTCAACAGAGTGTTGCTGAACCGTATGAAGGATGCAGTAGACGCCCAACTTCGAGATCAACAAGCTGGATTCCGTAAGGATCGGTCGTGCACAGACCAAATTGCAACACTACGGACCATCGTCGAACAATCAGTGGAGTGGAACTCATCACTATACATCAACTTCATTGATTATGAAAAGGCATTCGACAGTGTAGATAGGAGGACATTATGGAAACTTCTTCGACACTACGGAGTTCCTGAGAAGATTGTCAACATTATCCGGAACTCATACGACGGACTACAGTGCAAAGTAGTGCATGGAGGACAGCTGACAGATGCATTCCAAGTAAGGACTGGAGTCAGACAAGGCTGTTTACTCTCTCCCTTCCTCTTTCTTCTGGTGGTCGACTGGATTATGAAGACCTCAATATCTGAAGGAAAACACGGAATACAATGGACAACTCAGAATCAATTAGACGATTTGGACTTCGCAGACGACCTAGCCCTCCTATCACGTACACACGAACAGATGCAGATGAAGACAGCCAGTGTAGCAGCAGTCTCTGCATCAGTAGGCCTCAGCATACACAAAGGGAAAACCAAGGTCCTCAAATTCAACACGCAGAACAGCAATCAAATCACTCTTGATGGCGAAACTCTGGAAGATGTAGAGTCCTTCACATACCTAGGAAGCATCATCGATGAACAAGGAGGTTCAGATGCAGACGTAAAGGCGAGGATCGGCAAAGCAAGGGTCGCATTCCTACAATTGAAGAACATATGGAACTCAAAACAACTTTCAACCAATATCAAAGTGAGAATCTTCAATACGAACGTCAAGGCAGTTCTACTGTATGGAGCTGAAACTTGGAGAACTACAACAACCACCATCAAGAAAGTACAAGTATTTATAAATAGCTGCCTACGCAAGATACTCAACATCCACTGGCCGGATACCATCAGCAATAGCCTTCTGTGGGAGAGAACAAAGCAACTTCCAGCTGAAGAAGAAATTAGGAAAAGACGATGGAAATGGATAGGACATACATTACGCAAACCGTCAAACTGCATCACGAGGCAAGCCCTAACTTGGAACCCTGAAGGGAGGCGAAAAAGAGGAAGGCCAAAGAACACATTGCGTCGGATTATAGAAGCAGATATGAAAAGGATGAATTACAACTGGACGGAGCTAGAAAGGATTGCCCAGGACAGGGTTGGATGGAGAATGCTGGTGAGTGGCCTATGCTCCTTCACGAGGAGTAACAGGCGTAAGTAAGTAAGTAAGTAAGAAGGCAGTAGCGAAACTATTGAATATTAACTTAGTGGTCAAACTCAAGGATTTTAAATTCCATCTCTGGTGGAGCAACTAGTGTGCACTGACAAAAAGCCGCTTCACTGCTATGGCGAAGTAATCAACTGACGCTTGAATTTCAAAGGGTCTGATGTAAAATACATTTGCTAAGAACAAGGAGCCCGATATTCAAATAAACGATGTCATTCGGTTCTTTCGACAATGAATCTTAAACAGGTTTTCAAGCACTCAGATTAGTAAGAAAGTTATTTTTGACAGAAACAGAAAGAAAATAGGATTCTAAAATCCCTTTGACGTATGTTCTATTGTAATTACTGGCTATCGCTTGAACTTTTAGATGACTTTGTAGAAAAAAGAATGTTAGGCAATGTTGTTAATGGATATATATATATATATATATATATATATATATATATATATATATATATATATATATATATATATATATATATATATAAGGTTAATGACATTAAAATGTTTACCACTTACGTTAACGACAATCCATCGTAGATCTGTAAGGTGTCTGGTGTGATCTCATCACTTTATAACGAATAGTTTTCAAGAAAGAAAATAAAATAATATAGTTTTCATAAACAGGGAAAGTTACATATTGAGAGAAAAGGACAGTTTAAAGGAGGACCTGAAAATTCGAACTCCAGTTGTCATTATTTCTTACAACTCCACAAACCCTACACATTGATGTTTAAACTCACTTGAATAGAGAGAGCATCAGAAACTGGCTAGCCAATTTATACAGTTTTTGACAATGAAAAGCTAGCATTATCATTTAGATTGGCTAAAACACTATTGTCAGAGTCTTGGAGCCGGATGAAATTTCACCATATCGATCCCGCTGATTGCCTTCAGTTTATAATAAAGGATAGAGATCCTAAATAGTATCTCTGGACGAGGTTAGTTTGACTAACAAATTCTCAAGAATTTTGTCTTTTCAAATTATTTGAAATATAATTCACTTAAGTTGGTTTTATACTTTGTTATCTGGTCAACTTTGTTTAAACTAATATATCTTGGTAACCAATTACAAGCTTAAGTTAGTTATTTATTTAAACACATAAATATTGGTATAAATTGGCACCAAAATAAATATGGGCCACGCAATAAGAGGATGGAACTGTTAAGAAATGGGAGAAGGGGTATAAGTGTGATCAAAAACAATAAATGAATGAGAGTAGTAAATAATAATAATAATAATAATAATAATAATAATAATAATAATAATAATAATAATAATAATAATAATAATGGGAGAAGTTCGATTGAGGAAATACAACCTGAAAGAATTCGTTCAGTTAAAGAAGTTTTTCATGTTTATGAAGTAGAAGGAAACCATAATGTGACCGCCACTGACTTTTATTCTAAGTCATGTGTGACAACGTCTTAAAGCCACTGAGCTGCTTCATTTCTAGAACTTCAACAAGGGAGTTGTGAAGCACTGACAGTGCTAGTCCTGTACATCATTTTGAGAGAGTTAAACAGCTTAACTGTGTCTGAGATTTAGTGATGATATTACCCAACTGCATAAACCGGATGTACCAAGGCTTTAAATATGCTTTAGCTACTAAAATATTTACTATTAGATGTTTAGCTAAAAAGGGTGATTTTGTTGATATTGCGTTCTCTGAGCTCGAGATAGTTTAGCTATGAGGCTTCCATTGTCACTCTAAACAGCCTAATCAGGATAAAACTTCAGACCAAAGTAATTTATGAGGATTTCTTCACAAGAGACTAACAGATTGCTTGTGCTCGTGATGTTGTGTCTAGATAGACAATGAAAGCTTTATGACTTAACTAGATATAGCACAGGGAACGTAATTTCAACCAACCTACTAATTTGGAGAGGTTTCTGTGGGAACTGTTGAGATATGTACGTTACATCATGGAATAATCTAAGTTCAACATTAATTGAAAGCCAGAAAGCACTGAACAACTGTTTCACTACGACATGGGATTCCGCAGCAAGATGTATTCACGACAGCACTGAGGATGGGACCCATGATTTTCGGTCTCACAGCGAGCGCTTAGCCTTTAAATTACTAACCAACAGCAATTAATAATCATATTCTCACTAGCGAATAACTTTAAGAGGTATATCCAGGAGTCTTAGTGAAGAGTCATGACAAATGGCGTTTAATCATGTCGACAGTAAGGCAATTGCTCAACAATGCCATTGGAAAATGGTTATGTAATATCGCAAGTTGATTGAAACAAGCACATAAACTATTGAATACTGACTCAATGATCTAGAATTTAAGTGTTCGTTGTCTGATCAAAGATTCTGAGTTTAATCCCCGGTAGGGTTGTGAACGCACACTGTTACTGAAGAGTCTTCTATCAGGGGAAAACGACTGCCCACTGCTTCCAAGTTTTCAACAGATCTTTAACTAATGTTAGTACCAAGGGTAAATTATAAAATTCTAATTATTTATACCTTTTATTTCTTATTTTAAACTTTATACAACTAATAAGAAAACGATAATTCTACTACTACAATTAATAATTAAATAAATCCTAAGTAGCCAATCAAAGAAACTGACGTAATAAATTGTTGAACTTGATTATTCAAGTTTTAACCTAAGTATAACAGAAAGCACAGATTAACTGACAAGAAGTTCTAACGAGATCCAATTGTGTTAATAATTCTCTGATTGACAAAATAACTAAACAAATAGCTCAAAGAAGAGAACTTTAAAATGCCAACTTTAGTGAAACAGCATACACTAACAACTAATGCGTACAACAGTAGCGAACAAAGTTGTTATGACGTAACAAATACAGTGGGAGCTGAGATTGGTTTTTCCAGATTATTATTAGTAATAAATTTGATTATTAAGTGACTAGATTACTATGTATGTGTATTCCTTTTATCATAAGTTTTCGATTTACCCATCATATACCGTTATGTGATTAAACGTTCCTATTTCATTGCAAGTTTGTTACTTACAGTTTCCCTTACAGACACTTTACGCTCGCTCATGGATAATTATTACTTCTCAATCTATGGTGTGAAGTAGTCTGGCCGGTTGCTACTTCTAGATTCAATACTGGGCTTAGAGAAGAGCTAGCGGATAGTGGACCAACAAGAACCTAACTTCCGGCTCAAAATCAGTATTGCTGTTCGACCGTGCATTGGCGAAATCCGATCCACTAAGCTGTAAAGTAAATAGTTGGCACGAAATAGACTAAATTAGAATCTTTGTGGCTTAGTAACCAGAATATTTAACAAAAATACAAAGTGAACATGGTACCATTTAATCTAATATGGATAGAATATTTTAACAAGAATCGATGTCCCACCCAGGGACTTTCGCATTGATTTGGAGCGAGCTAATGAACTAACTTCAATTGTTGAAGATGACAACCCAGACTTTGAATAAGGTCATGAAGTATGGTATGTGTTTCTCTCTCTAAATGGGAAATTTCGCTTTAAGATGGGTTTGTATCAATGTTTAGCCTAATTATAGGAAATGGAGTAATTGAGTGTTTTACCCGCTTCACGAGACTTTAAAGTGTGGTCGGCGCAATAATCGTGATTAGTGGTAGATTATTTCAAATAACACAGTCCGAAAGCCATTCGAGTGAAAGAGATGCATTCATTCCCTTATGTTACTCCTTGATCCAGTTATTTATCTTTAAAGAATATTTTCCATGTTTGATTTTCGATATTATCAATGGTACTACTATTGTTCTGATCCTTTTTCTTCCCTTTAGTTATGCTGATGGTACATAGTATAGCATCACGAGTGAATGCGTATTTGGGCAAGTTCTATCTTGTTTGTGACTAACTGATCAATAAAACTGTACATTATTCGATCGAAACATAAATCTCAAATGATTAAATAAAACATCAAGAAACTTACAAAATAACAAGCCAGTTGCCCGTTGTCGAACCAGTAGAGGCCTGAGTATCGTGTTCAAAATTAGCATCATCTAATCGAGCTGACTGCACACCTGTAGTAAACTGATGCATAGCGTTAATAAGATGAGTGCGATGGAGTGGACCTTTAAAAGAGTAAAAATTAAGTCTTTATTGGTGAATGTGATGATTAATCAGTAGCAAATAAACTTAAATAGTGTAAATCATATATTTTTTAACACATATATTGTTCCGAATAATTCTGCACGACATCCACGTTGAGCTTTAATAAAACATTAGAGAATGCTATTAACACGATGATGCTCCCAAATGCCCTGGTACGGTCGAGGGTGGGAAGAGCCAACTCTTCTTTTCCAAATGCTCTCACATGGCCACCTGTATACAGCCAGTTCCATGGAAGTCATACTCACTGACTTCTCGTGGCAGGGTGTTGTTTTAGAAACTGAGAGAATGAAGAGCGAATGTCCGGCGCCTTAACTGGCTTGGTGGACACGGAGGATCCACTTAGGGGAGTTGGAAAACCCTCATTCAAAACCAATGGTGCATATGGGCTACCACGATCCTGAAGGAGAAAATGGCGTATGAACCAATTAGTGGTAACCGGCTACCATTAGACTGCATCTCTTCACGTTGACCTACTGCCTTGCGGATCAGACCTTTGGGTCGAAGGCTCCAGGTGTGGCTCCCTAAGAAAACCATCTCCTTCGGTCTGGATACCCGGGCAGTATCACAGCCCATATACGATTCAAGTGACTTGTGTGGCGCATATGTATTCGGTACCCCTTTGTACCAATATTTGTGTCCAAATAAATAAATGGAATGATGTATAAACTGAGTACAGTGCTTTCACATTTCGTTTGAAATGAGTAAACATCAACTTCTCGTAACTTAACGGGAGGCAGGAAAATGCAAGTGTGCATAATTTCTCAAACTATGCGTTCTACAGCAGTTTTAAGATTTTACGGTTACTGATGTTAACATCAGCAAGTCAGAGAATTTTGTGGCTTGTCTTGACATGAATTATTACTTGATCAAGTTTAGAAAATTAACTTGTTGTCACTAATTTTTTTAACCAGCGATGTATTTAATCTAAAAAATGTTTTAAGCAACAAAAGTTGACTAGATCGACAGGTCGACAGTAAGTTCAACAAAAAACAATTTAATTGGTAAATCGAATGACATAAACCCAGCACTCAAATTTGAGCTCATTACAGATAAAGGCAAACAGGAATGTTAGGACTGTGTTTGAGTCAACAACGACAGCACATATTTTACACAGATGAATGTCACACAATTGACGAATCGAGAATTTTTGAGTCCTAAAATGTACACAAACTAACTTACCAAGATAAGGGATTTTCCTTTCATTGTTTAAAAACAGTATAACTGGGGCAGAAAGCATATTAATCCAAGGTACAGTCATATCATTGAGATGAAAAATATCACCTTACAACATGAAAGATTTAAGTTAGGAATTTCAATCAACATACCACTGTATAGAACGTCGGAAGAAATTTCATTAAGGAGTTTCTTGTGCATATGGCAGTCATGACAGTTATCAGGAACTGGATGAAGAATATTATCAAATTAACAGGATGTATTACTTATGAATAAAAGTGCAGCATTTGACCCTTCTGTGTATTCGGAAAGATCAATGTTTAAAATATCATGTAGAGCGACAGTCTTTAAGTCACCTGAGAGTCCTAATGAGAGAACAGAGAATAACAAATAAAGTAACACGTGTTTGACTGCGGTCATCCCGCGACCTTGAGATCAAATAAGGCCACAGTTTCTGGCATGTTTGGCAACGCTTCAGTGGCATCGTCCACTGAAGTCTTCAGTCTTCAGTAATAAGGATAGTAGGTTGGTGAACCTATAATAATCCTGACAGATTGCCTTTCAGTGAAGGTCCAGTTTCTCCTTGAAATATTCACTGGTGGGGCTGATACCACTTGTTCGGGTAAGGCATCCCAGTCATTGACTACTCGATGAGGGAAACGGGACTCCACTTTAAGTTTATTAGATCGCGGTTTATGAACCTTCTTTCTATAACCTCGGAGATTACTAGTGCTGGAGGGAGCAAGAAGATAAGACATATTAACACTCAAACCGTAATTAAGATACGAAATGCCAGTATAAGTTCACCTCGTGTCCTACGATACGACAAAGGGAAAAGGTTTAGGGTTTTAAACGCTCATCGTAAGGGAGTTTAGAAAGACCCCTCACTAATTTTGTTCTTACACACTGGACACGCTCAAGTGAGTTAGTATCCTTTACCAGACATGGGCTAGCTGCTTGGATACAGTACTCTAAATGTGATCTTACATATGTGAGATATAAAATTCGAAACACTTCCTCGCCAAAAGATTTGAACGCTCAGTGAAGTGACCATAACGCACGAAAACGTTTGACAGCGACTGCGTTGCAAGGCGTATTTGTTTTAAGTCATGACTAATTTTTACTCCTAAGTCTTTATGTTCTTGAACTCATGGAAGAGGTTTACCATCAGTAGTATAATGGTAACTATTACCGTGACCGACTTGCATTAGCAAACTCTTCCTAGAATTGATTTCTAAGCCCCAACCTCGAGCCCATCTAACTAAATTGTCTAAGTCAGCTTGAAGATCCAGATGATCAGCCTCACTTTTTATTGTTCTCCAGATTTTTACGTCATCCGCAAACAATAATGTCGACTACCTGAGCAACAGCGGTAGCTCGTTAACGTAGAGAAGGAAGAGCAGAGGGCCTAAGATGATGCCTTGGGGTACACCACTTTTGACCGGCTTCCAATCGTATAGCGTTCCGTTGACCCTCATTCTCTGTCTGTGGTCACATAAGAAATTTCCTATCCACTCATGTACCGTACATATTATTCCGAAGCTCGTGAGCTTCTGCATAGGACCTAAATGTGGAACCATGTGAAACGCTCTGTCAAAGTCTATGAATATCGCGTCGACAGACAGACCTTTATCTTGGGCTGATGTCCACTGCCCGCTCGCAATGAGTAAGTTAGTCGAGCATGAATGCTTTTACGAAACCCACGTTGCTCGGGAACTAACAGGTTATACGAATCTATATGACTCAATAACATAACCCAAATTGCCTTCTCAAGTAAATTAACGACCATGCTAGTTAGACTGACAGGCCGGTAGTTAGATACTATCTGTCTCTGACCGTCCTTAAATATAGGACTGACTATAGAGTCCTTCCAATCTCTAGGGAGTTGAGCGAGTGAGAGGGACATGTTTTAAGAGTGTCGCGAGCGGTTTTGAAATAATGTCCGCGAGAGATGACAGCAACCTTGGATGCGACCCGTCAGGGCCCGGTATCTTACTAGGTTTGAGGTTAGTTATCAACGGAAGGGCAGTTTCACCAGTCACCTGTACAGATTCAATGGTTGGTATCTCGGTGTGAGTGGGACAAGTATTTGTTACGATAAACGCAGAGTAGACTTCGCTAAAGTAGTTTGAAAAAGTCTCAGCTTTTGCTCGATCTGATTCGGCTAGTAAATCTGAATTTTCGTGTAACAGTAACGGGGGAATACCATCACTACGTTCATTCGCCGTTTAACATACGAAACAGTCGTTTCGGACAAGTACGGCTATCATATACCAACTGTCGTTTGAAGGAGGTTGCGAGCACTTGACAGTCAAGATGTCGCAAGATGATTGGTGCGTCACATCGAAAATTCGTGAAGTTTTTCAGAAGCGGTCAAACCAAGACGTATTTTGATTTGAATTGAGTTCAGCCACACCGTGTCTGATAACGTCCACCCGACAAGTAAGGTAGACAATGCCATCGTGATGGTGCATGATATAGGACGAATCTTCGATGATATTATGTCATCTCGACGATTTGCATGTTGGGACAATTTTGAGACCTGTTTAAAAGAATTACGTGAGGTAATATGACTTCTGTGGTTAATAATTATTTTTGTAGTATACGCGTACTAATTACGTTATGTCAGTATGTAAAAAAACAGTGGTGACCCAACTCCAAAGTATTTTTTCGTGAAACGGTATTCAATTACAGATGGAAAATGCGTTCAGCACACCCTTTCTTTGGATAGTCAATCACGCTTATTTGCTTTATCTCTTGTGTTGTTTACTAAAGCCTGGGTCTCAACATGCAAGGCTTGTATTATTTAGTTATTTGGACAGGTTGCACTTCGGAAACTTAGACAATAAACATATATAAAGACTACTATGTGAACATGCTTCCAGCTGTCCCGTGTAATCTGTAATTATTGATGCCTATTTTATTTTAGTCCCGTGTAAGGTATAAGTTATTGTCATTTCCGGTATCAGCACGTAAGCTGGACAGACCTTGGTTGATTTTCGAAGATCATCACATACGATCTCAGACAATCTGGTCACCTGAGATTAAGATATCGTGATTATTAAATAGTAAATTTCAATGCTTTCTCGTAAGCGCTTTATAATAGTACTTATTTCGGCTAATATCTATCTTTGCAAGAATACCGGCAGCCTAAAAATTTGAACTCTGTACATGAGGTAGTAAAGTTATGTTAGCTTAGCCTATGGCGAAATCTTCACATAATTGTACCTCTTACACACGAGTGTGATTTATTTCCTACAATATAAGGATCTGGTGACTTACATATCTTACTGTAGAAGATAATATTAACATCTTAGTATGTGTTATAATTATCTAAAGCATACACATAACATTTACAACCCTCAGGACAGCTAATATTTTCACTATTAACCTGTTTCTTCCATAAAAGTCGAGCAAAACAGTGAAAATCAGCCAAAGTTGTAATAAAGAAGGGAAAAACGATAAATCTTATCATGGTATCGTTACTTGTTGCGCAGTTTTGGTAGCCTTGACGAAAATGAATTTTTTATGACGATATATGCTTAGATCACGTTATTTCATATAAAAATAAATGATTTATCTACCCTTGGTGTATATTTAAGTGGAAATAATTACTAGTCTGTGATGCAATTACGGAAAAACTATTTTAGCAGCACCCGAATAATAAATTTTCAAGGACTTAGTGATACCATGTACCTCAAAATGGTGATCCCCTGCTGAGGATTTGGGGATCCCCTGCTACTAGACACGGAAGCCTGTTAAGCGAAAGCTTCTTCTATTCCGTCCACAACCATTTGAACCATTTGAACCACTTAATTGTAAAAACGGAAAATAAACTTTCAAATTTATTTATAATTAATTTCGAATTTTGGCTGAGCACAAAGCAGAAGTAAAAATGTAGTGTAAAAAGTGTCGCAATGTCACTGGAGCGTTGCCGGCATGTTTCCATCTCCAATATCTTTGTCACAAGCTTGTATAAACCAGTCGATTTGGTCGCACTCACCTTTCGTTGTTTCGGTACGGTTCCAGGTATTCGTTAATGTCTGATGAGTGGTAGTCCAGTCACTCGACTGCACTGATTCTGGTAGGTTTGGTAATTATTTGTCCAGGTTCTTTTTGGAAAGTCTATAGTCACCTGACAAGTAACTTGTTCTGGGCTTGTGACCCTTTTTGGAGTGTCCTCGTAACTCCTCTGTTTTGGAAGACATGAAAACTGAGGGCATATCATGTACAAATTTATCACTAGGTAATTTGAAAACTGTAATCAAGTCATCTCTGGTTCTTCGATATGACTATGGGAGTAGGTTTAGCTTAGCCAGTCGAGGATCTTACGGAAGCTTCGTTATTCCGGGGATCAGCTTTATGCTGTTCTTAGAACCGTTTTTAAAAGCAGTAGTTTTTACGTCCTGACTAGCGATGACTCCTAAGTCATTGTGTATCTGGTCAACAGGTATCTCAGTGTTATTTATCATGCATGTATCTGTACCTTGATGACCAATATGCATCACAATACACGTGGAAGTATTTATCAGCGAGTGCCAAGTTTCAGAACATTCAGATAATCAGCGAGACTCTAATTTAGGGACGAGCCAATCAGAAGCGTTTGAGCAATTTCAATGTCATGAAGCGAAGTTCAACACACGATTCTAACATACGGTCGGTTCAAAGCGAATTTTTGAGAGGAGGTGATTAATGAGAGGTTACAACAGATGGGACGGCGAGACTCTAATTTAGAAACGAGACAATCAGAAGCGTCTGAGAAATTTTAGTTATTAGTCAATCAGAAGATAGTTAGTGTAAAGTGAAAATATATTATAAGAAAGTAATGAATTACAGTGGATATTCTTCTTTTACATGATTTAAAAACTTGTTAAGGTTTGGTAAAGGTTCAGAGGTTCTGAATTCACAATGCATATGGTACAGAAACTCGTCCATAGGGTTAGGGCTTATGGTTAGGGTTAGGGTTTAGGGTTAAGGTTGTGGTTAGGTTAGGGTTAGAGTTTAGGGTTAAGTTTAGGGTTAGGGTGCTAATATACGATCGATTTACAACGGATTTTAGAGAAGAGGTGTTTATTGAGAGGCTACAACCCTAACCCTAACCCTAAACCCTAACCTTAACCCTAAGGACGAGTTTATATACCATATGCATTATGAATTCAGAACCTCTGAACCTTTACCAAACCTTAACAAGTTTTTAAATCATGTAAAAGAAGAACATCCACTGTAATTCATTACTTTCTTATAATATATTTTCACTTTATACTAACTATCTTCTGATTGGCTAATAATTGTCAAGGTCATTTAAAATTCGTTCAAAGGTCGTCCCTAAATTAGAGTCTCGCCGGATAATCTCAGGTTGCTTTGAAGTTCCAAGCTGTCACCCTTACTTCTTGTCGCTCTCCATATCTTGATTTCGTCAGTATATAGCGAGACCGATGATGAAAGGGGGGAGGAAGG